TACGTCGCTTCGCTGTACAGCTAACTATAGTAATAGACGCGAGAACGTGTGTTAAATATAAACTTAAAAGAGAAACTAAATAATTAAACATATATGACCTGTGGCCTCAAACGAAACCAGATCTTCTTCAGATAGAAGAAATTCAAGTGAATTTGTAGATCAGCAATGGCAACCATCCGCCAAAAAAAAAACGAATAAGAAGCAGTCCTGGGGAAACCACGGCCAAAAAACGCCAAACATACATCAAGGACTATTGGTTAAATAGAACAATAATCTCTGAAAATCCGTTTAATCCACTAGCTACAGATGAAGATACAGAAAATAATACTCAGAAAGTATATGAAGAGAGAATCTCCAAATCACCTTCAATATTTGTAAGTGGAGTCGAGGACATAGGATCGCTTACGAAATTGCTAGATGAAATTGACGGCAAAAACTACAGCCTGAAAATTCTGGCCAATAACCAAGTAAAAATCCTGCCTAGCATGTCAGAAAAATATCTACCAATCATCGAAGGCTTGAAAAAGAAAGACAGAATTTTACACCTATCAAAGAAAGCAGGATAAATCCTATAAAGCGGTTTTAAGAAACATGCACCCATCAACGGATCTTGAAGACTTAAAAACTGCCATCGAAGAATATGAACATAAGGTAATTAGAATTACAAATATACGAGAAAGAACTACACAAAAATCTCTACCACTATTCATAATAGAGATTGAACCTAAAGATAATAATAAATCTATTTATAACATCGATAAGCTACTGAATATAATCGTCAGCTTTGAACCACTTCGCAAAAAAAGGGAGATTCCTCAATGCCAGAAATGCCAGGGTTACGGTCACGCAAAAAACTACTGTTTTAAAAGTCCGGTATGTGTAAAATGCGCAATGAATCATCTTACTCTTGATTGCCCAACAAAAGGAAAAATTAAAGAAGTCAAATGTGCTAACTGCGACGGTAATCACCCAGCTAGTTACAAAAACTGTTTAGTGCGAAAACAATTACAACAAAAATTATACCCAACGTTAAGAGAAAAATCTGCAAATCAACAAACCCAGAACCAACTACAAAGTCTTAACCGCTTCGTTAAACCAAATATAACGTACGCGCACACTGTGAGATCCGACCATAAACAATATACAACAAAAATATTACTCAGCCTCAAATAGAAACACAAACGACAACAAACACATCAGTAACAGCAACAAGTAAACTCGAACAAATGATGACTCAGCTCATGAGTCGAATGGACACAATGCTAAATCTACTTACAAGCTTAATAAACAAAATTCAATAAGGAAAATCGTGAAATAAATATAGCAATCTGGAATGCAAATGGCTTAGCTCAAAGAACATTGGAAGTTAAGAACTTCTTAATTGACCAAAAAATCGATGTTATGCTGATCTCAGAAACACACTTCACAAATAAAAACTATATAAAAATTCCAAACTATACCATTTACGATACCAAGCATCCTAGCGGAAGAGCGCAAGGTGGGACAGCCGTTATTATAAAAACAACTATTAAACACCATTTAACTGGAATAAATAAAGACGAATTTATACAAGCTACTAATGTAACTCTGAATGATCAAGAAGGATCCATTATAGTCTCAGCTGTATATTGTCCACCTAAGCACTCAATAAAAACTGAGTTGTTTCAAAAATTCTTCAAAAGCTTGGGCCACCGCTTTATCGCTGCCGGAGATTTCAACGCCAAACATCCATGGTGGGGGTCTCGTTCTTTGACACCTACCCCACGTGGCCGACAATTATATGCAACACTACAGGCAGAAAACTTAACTCCAATTTCAACCGGAGAGCCCACCTACTGGCCCTCAGATTTAAAGAAGTCTCCTGATCTGCTTGATTTTGCAATCATAAAAAGCATTGATCCAAAATGTTTTATCGCTAAATCATGTCTGGACCTTTCATCAGATCATTCACCGGTTATTATCACGTTTACTCGACAAATTATTATGACACAAAAAATACAACACCTATATAATGGGAAAACCAATTGGACAAAATACAAGCTATATTTAGATAAAAATCTAAATTGCAACATTCCACTTAAGAATCCTACAGAACTAGAAAATGCAATTGAAGGATTCAACACACTAATTCACAAGGCAGTTAACGAAGCTACTCCAACAGTCGCTCTTTTAAAAAAATCTCAAAACATATCTAAAAATATTCAAGCAAAAATTCAAGAGAAAAGGCAATTACGAAAAACATGGCAAATCACGCGAACTAAATCAAACAAAACAAAACTTAACAAAATAACAAAAGAACTTAAATCCCTACTTATTACAGAGAAAAATAAGTCCATTCAAAATTATCTCGAACAATTAACTGCTACGGAAGCAACAAACTATTCTTTATACAAAGCTACAAAAAGACTGAAACAACCTCATACAAAGCTACATATTCCACCAATCAAAAAGAATAACGAGAAATGGGCAAGAAGCGAATCTGAAAAAGCTTTTGCCTTTGCTGAACATCTGCATGAAGTGTTCCAGCCAGCAGCTCAAGAAATAACCGATCAAGAGGAAAAGGAACTAATCAGTCTCGAAGAAATCCCTGTTAAAAAAGAATTACCAACAATAAAAGTCAAAATTAAAGAAGTGCTACAAATTTTAAAATCTTTCCAGAATAAAAAATCACCAGGCTATGACAACATTAGTGGTAAATTAATCAAGGAATTATCTCCTAAAGGTATCCGGTTTCTCGCTATATTAATAAATGCTGTTTTTCGCTTGTGCCACTTCCCCAGTCAGTGGAAAGTAGCGCAAATAATATTAATTGGAAAACCGGGTAAAAACCCGGATCTTCCTACATCATATACCAATAAGCTTACTGCCTGTCATGTCTAAGATTTGTGAAAAACTCTTGCTGAACAAAATAAATCCAATTGTCTTATCCAAAAAACTAATCCCGGATCACCAATTCGGTTTCCGCAATCATCATGCAACAATCGAGCAAGTCCACCGACTAACTAGTAAAATCAAAGTGGCCTTTGAAAATAAAGAATACTGTACCGGTGCCTTTCTAGATGTGGCACAGGCTTTCGATAAGATGTGGCATAAAGGTTTGCTATATAAATTAAATAGAATGTTTCCAAATAATATTTATCAATTACTGTACTCATATCTAACTAAAAGAACTTTTTAAGTTAAAATAAACCAAACTGTCACAAAACTCTATTCAATTAATACCGGAATCCCCCAAGGTAGCGTCTTGAGTCCGACCTTATACCTACTTTACACAGCTGACTTACCAACAATGCAGGAAATCACTACAGCAACATACGCTGATGATACTGCGGTACTCGTAAGCCATCCCAGACCCGAAGTGGCAGCTGAAGTCTTGCAAAAATATCTTGATGTTGCAAGTGCGTGGTTTAAACAATGGAGAATAAAAATTAATGAGACAAAGTAAACTCATGTAACATTCACACTCCGGAAAACATCGTGTCCCCCAATATACCTTAATAAAACAAAAATACCGCAAAGAAATGACGTTAAATACCTGGGGATGCATATTGATCGTCGACTGATTTGGAGCACCCATATCTGGACCAAATGTAAACAGCTAAATTTGAAATTGAGGCAGATGTATTGGTTACTGGGAAACCAATCAAAGTTAACGATTGAAAACAAAATACTAATCTACAAAAGCATTCTTAAACCTGTATGGACATATGGAATACAACTTTGGGGATCAGCTTCACACTCTACTATTGATATTTTAGAACTTTTTCAATCAAAAACCTTAAGACAACTAGTCAATGCACCTTGGTTTGTACCAAATGATATAATTAGGAAAGATCTAAAAATTCCTACCGTCAAAGAAGAAATAAAAACTCACTACAACAAATACATACGCAGACTTAAGGAACATCCGAATCGGTTAGCAGCTGGGATTAACGAAGTAACTCCTACGAATTCAAGACTTAAAAGAAATAGAAGCATAATTATCTAACATGGTTTTATTGTAATACTTTCGTTATGAAATAATCTGTAAAAGTATTAACCACTGGGTGAATACTTACATGCTCTTTATTAACTGTAGGAAATTTACTTATTGTCAAGGTAGACAGATTGTAAATAAAAGTGGGGTTAAAAAAAAAAACTTCCGCGAATAATAAATTCTACTTCGATACCGACGATAAAATAATCACGATTCCCGAAGGATCGTACGAATTGAGTGCTATAAACAGGTATCTGAGAGCTGCTTCGTCACGTACGACGACAAATGCTTAACGATAAAGGTAATAGTGACGATGATTACATATTCGACGACGACAACAACGATAATGCTCATAAAGAAGAGATACTGATTCTTCGAGCCAATGAGAACACTATGAGAAGCGAGATTAAATGTGCGTATCGAATAAATTTTACAACACCGAATAACATCGGTTCGCTATTGGGTTATTCAAAATCGCTCGTAAAATTTCAAAAGACGTACTACGGTTACAACAATCGCGATCCTATGTTATCTATCGGAGAATTTCTTGTACACGGTCCATTCGCGCGTATTGATCGATTGTTCTCGCCAAAACGAATTGATAAAGAGCGCCACTGTAGATATTTGTATAGAATTCGAATGTATGGAAAATATTCCACTGAACACCACAGCTTATTGTCTTATTATTCACGACAGGGTGATAGAGTATAATCCATTGACTAATGTTATTCACAAAATTGTATAATATTTTTAAACTCTTTATCGAGTTTCATACACTATCATATTGTATTGTAAAACACATATTACCTTAAATATATTATATATTATATCTTACAAAAAAGTAATGATGTCATATCCCTTTCCTCTTAGATAGATAAGAGTCTCGTCTGCAAAATATTAAGGTATGAAACATGATTCATGTCATATATATAGAAAAATCACGAAAAGTGATTCATTACTCTTAATAGAGCGTTAGGGTACGCATCGTTTTTTACCACGTATCGTATACTTGTGTTACATCGCGATGTCTCTCACGTTTATCATCATCATCATCGTTTTCGTTGCGATTACTTTTACTACGACGACGACAATAAGAACGGCAGCGACGAATCGTGAAAGCATAGATACCGAAGTAATTCTGTATCTACAAAAGTACGGCTACTTAAGTAAAGCTGACAACAATACGCAATTATCATTCGAAGAGGGAGAACTTAAACAGGTTATTTCGTTGTTTCAAGAATATTATCAAATACAGGGCGATGGTATGAATAACTATACGTTGTATCAGATGCGTAAACCACGATGTGGTCGCCCTGACATCTACGAGTATAATATAGGTAGACGTAAATGGGCGAAAACACATCTCACGTGGAATTTCCAGCTAGCGGATCCACAAACCTTGCAAACTACCGAATTCGCGTTCTCGCTATGGGCAGCTAATTCATCTTTATCGTTCGAACATAAAACGGTAAATCCCGATATCTTGATATTTTATCGTAGTGGGACACACACGTACGCTGATCGTAGACGCAACGAAGAAATTTGCACCTCTTCGTTAGATGGACCTGGTGGAGTACTCACTCACGCGTTCTATCCTCCTACCGTTAACAATTACAGCAGTGAAATACACATAGATAGTACAGAACCGTGGCATATATATCTAACTGACAAATCTGCTAGTAGTAACAAGGACTATCTGCTTAACACGTTAATACCAAAGAGGATAAGATAGAGTGGAAGCGCCCATAAGAACCCAATAGTAAATTTCGTATCGAGTTTCAGCGCTCCCGGTGGTTCAGTACGGAACTAACCTCAGAGATCGCGCTATATTTGAATGATTAAATGCATTAAACTCAAACGAAAATACTTATTACTAGATTATGTAACTGGTCAAACACATTATTAAACTTCCTATAAAAATTGATTATTGATTATTTATTATAAATATATGAAACAATATACATAGTAAATTTGTTTTTTCGAACTACAATACAATAAAATAATATAATATCTCCAATTATGTATGTATATATCATAATTATGAAAAAAGTATCTTTATCTTAATATTCAACATTTTACAACAGGAATAACTATAACTACTTTCAGAAAACTTCTGTGCATAGACAGATTATCTTAAAAATATTCAAATATCATTTCCTATTGCGATCAACTAGAACTTTTAACATTAATATCTCTCAGATAACTTTAAGTAAATATATAAAAAATAATAAATTAATACATATTACGCACACGCACATGCGCGCTCACACACACACACACACACACACACACACACGCACGCACGTACTTTCAGAAAACTTCTGTGCATAGACAGATTATCTTAAAAATATTCAAATATCATTTCCTATTGCGATCAACTAGAACTTTTAACATTAATATCTCTCAGATAACTTTAAGTAAATATATAAAAAATAATAAATTAATACATATTACGCACACGCACATGCGCGCTCACGCACGCACGCACACACACACGCACACACGCACGCACGCACACACGCACTCATTCTTGCATAATTCTTTCTTTTTTGGTTTCTATTGCTTTGTTAGGTCTTTTTTCGAAACGTTTCAATTCTCGTCGAATGAACCTCGCTTCCCAATGACAGCGAATTGTCATAAAATTTTTTTTAAATGCGGTTAGGTTGCTTCATCGCTACATAATGTAATTTGCGGACAACAGTTTTAATTGAACTCCATAAGATTCTTACAAATGTTCTTATAGTGAAGCATATTGCGAATGATCGAAGTGAAATGTTGTTCCCACGTTTGTATCTTTTCAAAAATTTCGTGTTTAACATGAATTAGTCCTTCGGAATTTTCGTATTGTTTATAAATGGTGAATGTCTTATACTCCTGAAAATCAGTATCTTTGTCGATTTGCAATATGCTTTTACATAGTGTACAATTGTGTTTAGAAAAAAATTTTTTACATAAATACCCCGATATGTAATAAACGGAATTTGATCGGTTGAATTCTTCGCATTCATTCTCAACGTAATCAACTTGAAAATTTGTAGTTGACGACATCAAATCTGTTTCTGTATTTATTTTGAAATTACTCTCTTTACTAACGATATTTTGTAACGATGAAAGTTTCAGAAAAATATGATTTTTATCAATCTCGCAGTTCGTGAATTTCGAAATTTTTGATAGTTGTGTTATTAATAAATGTCGCATGCCATGTTCGAATTGATGCGTAGACGGATTCACATTGCAACCATGTTGTTGCCTGATGACCGCAAATAAATTTTCTAACGGATCTTGATTCAATCTTCGAGTACACAATTCATGAATGCCGTAATTTTGATCTAAATCCTCAAACAATTCCAATATTACTCGCGCTGTCATGCGAAGTCCTTTTAAACATGGTGGTTGCTTTTTTGATTGAAATGACGCTTTCTCTAAATTTTGTAAAGTTTTTAAAATAAACTCTTTGTGTGGAGAAGTTTGCGAAATCGCGTAATTTAATTTATTAGGGAAAGTTTCCTTTTTAAGCGAAGAATTCAACGTATCAAATAACATATCTATGTCTAAAATAAATTGCGACGATCGATCATCTTCAGGAAACTTTTCGGGGTACATTGTCATGTATACGAGCATGGCTGTATGCATAGATTGTGAAAAGATTTGTGCAGCTAATCGAACATTCATTTTTGAAAAATGCGTTAATTTTATGTGGTTTTCTGTTATTCTCGGAATCAAATTGAGCGGATACTGTTTTGATAAGTCGAAAATTTTTTGAATTGTTGTCCAACGCACATAACTGTCTAGATACTTAAAGGTTTTAGTCATTATATTATTTCGAAGCGATTTAATCAAGTGTGGTGGATCAAAGATCAGAAAGATTTTATGCTCGAATCTTTCAAAATTTGTTTTATTTTCGGAAATATCAAATTTCTTAATCAATCCTTGATTTCGTGGCCCCTGATCGCAAATAATGGTTTTCACTATTAAATTTGCATCGAAGAGTT